CTACTTTTACAAAGCCACACAGGTGGATATGTCCATGTCCACCATGGGGTGGTGGTTCATTATAAAAAATTAGAGTTGATTAGAAAATGTATTTTCCATTCTGCAGGAACTTTCCATTTCCCCCCAAATAAATGCATAAATTAATTGCTATGGCTATGTGGAGATATTGCAGAATTCCTAACACTAGTAGCCTTTCAGACAGACAAAGTAAACCTTGGCCAAAGATGATATTAGTATTGAAGTTATCATTGCTTTCAGGCAAGGGAACAGGCGATATGACTTCTTGAGATTCTGTTCAGCTGGAGATTTATACCTTCTCTGCCCTAACTGAAATAACTTAAAAGATCCCAAATTTTAGCTATCCTTTTGATCCAAAGTCTCTTGCTGGCTTTTCAGAATAAATGTGTGAATCATTTAGGTAATTTTTTCTTTAGAACTCTATATCTGATTTATAATTTTGTTAATCATTTCAATGCTCTATACAGTGCTTTCATAGCCCCTGTATTCTCAAATCTTTATGTTTCTGTTGTGTGATATGTATTCCTTCTCCATCTTATTGTTTCATATTTGTATTTTTGTTTCCGCCATGTATTCAGTCATTATGTTACTCTGCCTCGTTCCCGGTATACTCAGTCCTCAGATCACCATCACAGAGATGCCAGGTACATGTTCTCCTCTGTGTGACTCTGTGTGGATAATGCATGTACCTGTATGTACGTTCATGTCCACTTCTCTCTTTATCAGTCAATGTGTAGTGGTAGAAAACCTAGAAGTGTTGAATAAATATCAACATCAATATTCTTAGTAGAGTAAGTAGAAAATCACTGGGTAGTTCTTAGCTTTTTGCTTCTTTTTTATTTTCACTGCCAAAAGTCTGCAATTGAAGGTGCAGAATGATGCTATATTTATATCATTCCAATCTCTTAAAAATCCAATAAAGAAAGCTATTTAAATCAACCAACACAACTTCTGATACTTTAATTTTCATATTCAAAATGTAATACAAATATGACTGTGTTAGAGGTTACGGCAGATAAGCCTGAAGTGTGATACTTCTCTCATAACCTCAGCTGCAGGTTAATAGACCTTAATTTTTTAAAAGTAATTTTGCTAAATTCACTGATGTTCCAGTTGAGTTCTGTTCCAGTATTTAGTTCTGTTGCTGAATTTTCCTCCTTTTCATGTTTATCCTCATTTCATCTTTGTGTTGCTTTTCATTGTGTTCACCCTTTATGTTTTGGCAGCAAGGATCACTCAATGTATCCTCTGTTTTGTGAAGATGCAGTCAGATTGCTTCGCTCCCGTAAGATGTGCCGTACCTATTCTGAGGGTGCTTACTATGATCTTGAGAGGTATAATTGGTGTGGAGCATATTGTTTATTCTACCCCTTATACTTTGACAGGACTGCGTTTGATTTCCAAACTAAGAATGTGACCAATGTTTTAAGTGAGAAACACATACAGTGAGGATATTTTATGATATTCTGGGAGTTTGCATGCATCTAAGACTGACTGCTCCAGAGTATGGCTAAATCCAAAGAGAAACTGAATAGTCTTATAAAAGTCAGTTTCATAAATGGAGTTATATGTATATTTTGTGTAAGTGTCTTTGTACAACTCTTATTTTTGATGGGATTTTCTGAAGTGCTTTTTGTACTTATTTTTCTCTTGGGAATAATGAGAAGACGCCTATCTGCCGCAAAGTACACAGAAATAGTCTTTTTGAAATTAACTGAAAAATAGAGTGAAATGTGCAAGTATTATTTATGTTATACATATTTATATGATGCTTATTCTGTAGTTTATGAATACTTGTATACATACGCAAAAGCTATGTGTGATTACAGAACATCAGAATTCCTATTCATATAAGGAAAATATGGCAGAGGGAAGCTAAGCCCATAATAATTTGTATGAAATGATTATACATGAAATACAGTGGCTTTTAAGAAACTTAGTAAGGCATGCTGGTGTTGTACTGCAGATGCAAAAAAATACTGGTGTAATTATGGTATTTTCATCAAATATTTCAAATTAGAAAAAAGTTCACGTTTGTGTATCAACAGGAAGAGTTATATAAAGATTCATATCTTTAACTGTTAGATAAACTGTTAGCTAATTAAAATAGTGATAGCTTCTAATCTCAGATAGTAGTAATGGTTGATACCTCCATTGCTTTACAAGACAGGCAAGGTACAATTTTCCATTGGAAGAACTAAAGAATTTTTGTATATTAACTTCATGGCTGCCATCTAGATATAATTTCTTTTAAGAATTTCACTAAGTGTTGCTCTGGATTCAAACCTATAAAAAACATATTTTTTGTACGGGTAAAACTGACTTTAGATACAGAAACAAAATGGAATCCAGAACTGTTATAATATCATGAAAATATTCCTTCTAAAAAAATCTTGTCTTTTAAAAATTCTCCAAAGCTGTAATGTAATAAACCTTATAACCTTTCTAACTCAGCTAAACATTTGTCTTGAAATTATATTGTATTATGTGAAATTTAATTTGAAGAAACAGTATATTTAATAGCTCACTACACGTGCAGAGAGTTTAAATGAGAGGGATTTTTATTTTTTTTCTGAAAATATGTGAAGAAAGGTACCCATGTATATACTATTTCAATATTTAATTTTTATATACTGTTATAGTGACATTTGCCTTAGTTTATCTGAATCTGTACCTATTCAAATAGTGCCAAAAGTTGGAGCTATTATCAGATTGTCTTAGTTTGAGGATCTTGCCTTGCAAATCTTTATCTTAGTTTCTGTAAAACTTCATCTCAAAACATAAATTAGAAACAATGACAATAAAGAGCAAAAGTGGTAGTATGTACATAAAGAAGAAAAAGCTGGGATTTTAGCGGTGAGATGCAGTAGATCTTTTTGGGGGCCTTATTTCTGAGGAGTCCTATTACAGCTAATTCCTTATGGAACGTTTCTTACTCACTTCAAGTGTCAGAGCAGTATCTTGGGAATCCTGGGGCTGTAGACTCTGATCAAGGACTTTCTGGTCCTCTGGAATCCTGTGTACGTTAGTATTCAAGCTAAATGAGTCATGTCACCAGATAAGAACTACTATGAGTACTTGATAATCACTATGACTTTTCGTAGTTTTTCACCCTTTCTGTCCTTCCATACTCTGAAAGCCGTTCTCCAGGTATTTAAGGACCAAATAAAGGATAATCATTATCTTATTCCTCATTATCCTTATAGACACCCTGAGTCATTTCCTCTTCCTTTTTTTGTATTTTGGAAATATATGAAAGATTTTTTAAAACCATCTTTCCTTGTCTGTCTTTAAACTTTTTATCTAGTTTAATGCTTACCTAAAAATATGTTATTTTTATAATGCAAGAAAGACCTTAGTCCTGTCTTCTTAGTCCCTTCTGCTTAATCAGTGTCGTGCTGATATTAAGCAATCATCTCCTCTCTTGACACTTTTTATTTTCACTTTTTAAAATATGTAAAATAAGTATTTATATTTTCCACTGTTTATCAAAATAGTAAACATTGTTCTGTAATGTCCAATATTCAGGGAAGAGTCTTGCATCTGAAATAGAGATTTTTGTCTTATATGACATTATGTAGCTGCCAGTGTGGATGTCCTTCAAGCAAATATGTCATACAGATACATCAGTCAAGATTACTTACCTTCTTTGTTTTTCATGGCTCCTTTCACTACTTATAGTCATTCATAGCTAGCCCCTTAACTCCTGCAGTCTCCGCTAGCAGTTTGTTTCTCTTCACAGAGCTGGCTAACAGGTTGTGTTTGCTCTTTTCTGTACTGATGATTGCTTCACTTACTGTCTTATCTTAGTTTGATATTCTTTGATGTTCTAGGATGCTCTTACACTATCAAAAACCTTAACTTGTGAGTTCCTTCTTAGGCCATGGTGCTGTCATCATTTTACCTTGGCAATAGTTCCTTCCTTTTGAAGGAGTCCAGCTATTGCCCTCCAAAAGGAAACAGAGGCAGCATTGCCAGGATAGTTTGCTTGAGCTTGAGAAAGATGGTAGGGGACATGTGTGGCCACAGTGACTTCATTGCCCTTGGGTCCCAGTGCTTTCTCAAGAGCTCCCTGCTGTCCAGCCCTCTATTCAAATTTTGGTTGACCCTTTCATGTCATATTCAGCTATCTAATATTCAGCACGGTAGCACAAGCTGGTACCAGCTCACACTGTTGCAGCCACTCAGAATAAACATACATAAGATATCATTTTTGGACATGCAGGGCTTTACTTGCCCTTTTATTTATATTCCACAGTTCACAAGTCCTGTACAGTTATACAGTTATATATAATATTCTCAAGATTTTCACCCCAAATTTATCAAAAAATAAAGATATACTGTTTTTCTAGGTTTTCTGAATAGGTTTTTCCTCCCAAATAAAAATCTGCTGAAAGCTTTACTGTGTTAACTCTTCCATTCTCAGCTTTTCTTTCTCAGAGTTCAGCTTAATCACTGAGAGCACTACGCTGTATGCTATTAAATTTTATTTTTTTTCCCTTAATCTCTGAGATTTGAGTTTGGAGGACCATACAAGTTGGTTTATGCACATTTTGTGCAAGATGTGCAGCTTACTTCCGGCAACATTTGTGCTGCTTCTCTTAAGGAAAGAAACTTTTGATTCCTGTTTGTTTCTTGACCCTCATTTTACCAGAAATTTCATAACAGCTGTATGCTGTTTTTGCTGAAATTTTGCAATTGCGTAAATACTGTTTTCCTACTGATGTAACTTTGCAGTCCTATGAAGTGTGTGAATTGATCAAATGTCCTTAATATGTTGCTGATTAAATATAATTCAGAATTAGGACTTTAAAATGACCTTATATATGAATATATAAGTTTAGAAGACATTGCTGAACATAAAGTAAATAAATGTACTCTATGTACTCATTACTATCTTAATTATACGGCAAGGGAAAACACATAATAAAAAAGCACTATTAAAATGTCTGAAATATCTGTGCTGTTTATTCCATATTCAGGAGGACTAGGCAGGAGAGAAGAGTGCCTAATACATATTATGACGACACAACCTATACTCCTGAAAGGTATTTCTATTTCTATAATAAAATAGATAAAGTTGAGTGATATAACAATTTTTATGAAGCGTATTCTAAGATTTTTTATTGGCCAAGATTCATGATATTTAAATTTACAGTGCACTTCATGCAGTATTTCTTTTAAAATGGAACAGCTAATCTCCAGAGCTTTAAATACCTCATTTTCTTTTAGCCCTCCTTTGCCTCCACTCTGGATTTTTTTTATGGAAGCTCTCAGTTGAGAAAGGTTTATTGGCTAGAAGATGTGAGAGGAAAAGCAATAATACAGATGAGTTAGGTATAACTGGAAGTTTTTCTCCACTTCATCACAACATACTTCTAATAGCTAACGTTTTCAGTCATTATGAATAATCAAAGGACAAATTTACGTCTTCAATTTCAGTCTTTTAATATCTAGAGACATGTAAGGATGTTTCAACTTTTGACGTATTAGTGCTTTTACTGACCTAAAAATGACTAGTGCCTTGCAGCTGATTTTGAGTGTTTGCTCTGCTAGGACCAAAAGCACTATTGTTCCATGTAAATTTTGATATCACAGTGGACATAATATATCTCAAATTGGGAGTGTAATCTGAAAAATTTTGCAGTGTCTCTGGAAATAGTTACATGATAACAGCATTTCACATTTAGAGAGAGAGGCAAAGTCCAAAACGATAGAAATCTGAAGAAAGAAAGGAGTTGATATTTCTCTCATTTTGTACAATAGTTCTTTTATATTTCAGTATCCATTTTTAGGACTGTATCTGATCTCCAACTGAAGTATGTGAGCAAGTAAAGCAAGGAATATTTACTAATAGGGAGAGGAATGTTTACTAATAGGAAGAAATTTTGTTCATTTTCATTAGATCACTAAGAACAAATACAGCCACATTTGTAAAAAACATAAAGTAAACTGCAATTTAAAAACCGTATTTATATATGCATGGTGGCTAGAGTAAGACACTTTCACAGAAAAATCTTACCTAAAATATTAGCTAACTGGAGAAAGTGATGATCAGAGAGAGCATAAATATATACCTGTCCTTCTCCAGTTGTATTCTAATTAAACTAAGCTGAACTAACTTTCATCCAGTCATGGCTACAAGCCATGTAAGAAATGCCATTACCTCTACCATCCAATTTGTTGTAGAAGAAACAAGAGCAGCTGAGTTACATTCACATATACTGCACTCCGTACTATCTTCTCTCACTACCTTCCCTTGCTATAATGATCAGGAGGTGTGAGATTATGTAGTTTGAGAACACATCTCAAAACCTCAGATCTGAGAAGTAAAACATCCATCCTACCATGACTTCTGAGAGCAGATTCATCACAACCTTTGATAAGTGTATGTAAGTCGTTAAAAAGTTAATTGTGCAGACTCTGGTTGGGATTTTCTGTATTACAAGCAAAGGAAGAGATATATTCAAATTGAGAATACTATGGTCCCTTTTTGAAAATCCCTTTCTTGGTTCTCACTCTCTGTCATGTGGAAATCATCGAATAGTGGGACTGTTGCAGGTCCAGTGCTATCCCTGAGCAGGATCCTGAAAATCTGGATCTCCAGATAAGGCTGAAGTTGAATGTCCTTAACCAGATATGGGGTGATTTGGGTATATTTTCAACATACCAGGCTGATGGAACAAAAACAGATTATCCCAGGGCTTCTGAAACCAAGGCAGCTTTTTTCATCCCGTTATTTCTTTTCTCTATGGTTCTACTTTAAGATAAGATTTCTTCCTGGTTCTACTTTAAGATAAAATGTTTTTATACATGTTCTGATGTGATCTCCAACTGATTTTACTGAAATGATGCTGTAAATGTTTAAGCTAGGTAGCCCATGTTCAATACTGCGCACAGTAATAGAGATAGAAAATTTAATTTATTTTCATTGTTTGACCTGAGTGGAATGTGAATTTTCTTCTGCTTCTTAAATAACTGTGAAAACCAACTACCTATCAAGTTGAAAAGTAAATAAATTTGAAAAGATAAAATATTTAATAAAATTAAGAGCAACATTTTATGCTATTGCTTCATAGAATATTATTTTTAAGTTGATATTGTAGCTCCACAAATATTGTTATTTATTTCACAAACACAGTAGCCATTGAAAACATGAAAACTTTTGTATGAGAAAAAATAAGGGATCCATTAGACTTTATGGAATTGAAATTTGTGGCTAAACTGCTGAAAATAGTAAAGGTGAAATATATTGAGTACTATATCAGGAAAGATTAATTAATTAAAGAAGATGTGTTTTTCTTCATACCTAAGAGGAAATAGAAGGAAATACAGAAAATGATTTGGAAACAATTGGAAAACTCCCAATTGTAATGAGAAGTGCTCATGTCATATGAATTAGAGTGTTACTAATATTGCATATGCTTCTTTATAACACTTCTTTATTTTAACTGCATTGTAAAGGTGGTACAATGGTGCAAGTTCATGGGCAGATCATGTAGTCAATGGTTCAGCTGAAAATTATGGGTAAGTAAAGAGCATAGAGTTACAGACCGAGCTAAAATGTATTTCTAATCTCATAGAATTGCTTTATTATAGCACTAAATTTATTCTTAAGAAGTACATTTTCCTTTATGTCTGTCTTTCTTGACTCAGAAAAGACATACTTTTGTGCTAGTCTTTTTTCCAGCATTAGACTGTTTTATTAAATTACAAATATAAAAAGAACATTGATTATGTTTGAGCTATTTTTAAAATATGTTCTCAATGTTCAGGGCTGTTTTAAAAAAAAAGTGCTTTCTCTTTGAGTGATAATACCAGTCTACATGCACATGTAAGGGCATGTACCTTTGAGACCTAATACTTTTTAGCTTTGGGAGTAATCCCAATTCCAGCTGTCTAACCTTTCTCCTCTCTGTGAGCGGTGCATAGCCCAGGTAATGCGCTTTGTGCTTACCAACGCTCAGTTCTGCCCAGCTGCACTTGGCTCCTGATCAAGGGAATGTCCAGATGTTCCTACATACACCTGCACAATCAGAGTTCTCTAGCTTTACTGCTTCTCTCTCATTTTGTTTTTGCCCTTGCAACATTTTCTTTCCTTATTTTTACTTCTTGTTTCCTTTGCGAATGTGAAAAAAGCTTGCTTCTTTCTGCCCTTCCATATCTTTTAAGTAGGAGCTGGATTATATTATCAGTGACATGTTTTGGTGACTAAGAGAAACATAGGGTGTGTTCCAAGTTGCTGGAAAATCCTGAAGTCCTTAAGTGAAACTCCCATTGAGTTACTGGGAATTTTTCCTTAATGAAATTAAATCTCAAAAATATTTTATATTAATTTTTGCAAAATAATACTATAAATTGGTATCTCAAATGCTGTAATTTCACAGGTACTTAATAACATGTGAATTGTGCATAAGTATTGAATTAATTCCCTGCTTTGGCTCAATTATTATTTATTAGTGAATTTAAAAGTGAACCTAGTTTAAAATTTGTGTTTTTATTTATTCTTTTATAGCTGCACAAGTAAATGTGATTTTTCTGGAGAAATAGTCATGCACCCAAAACAGATAGTTGGGGGTTTACTAAGCTGTACTCATTTGAATGTGAGCAACTGTATAAAGATCCAGTATATTGGAAAGAGATGTATAAGGGATTAGTTACCTGTAACTGTTAGTGACCTGTAGTCCCAAGACTATTTAAATAAAATAGTGATTCGTATTTTGCAAAGTATATTAGCTAATATAGCAATTCCATTTATGGAAGTTAGAGAGTGAAGGAGACTTTAAGTGATCTTATCAACTGGAACTTAAAAAATTCTGATTAAAAACAAAATTCATCCTCCAACATTTTAATGCAAGTTTCTCTGCTCACTGGATAGGTTATATAGGGTCCTTTGGCTGGACATTAGAGCAGCTACAGAAACTTCCTTGGGACCATATTTCTGCCCTGGCTATTTGTGCCAGTGTCCCATTGCCTGCTGACTCTTCAATTTTAATTGTTAGTAGTATACACTTTATTTATACTTACGGGGAGCACCGTACAAATGAACTGTTCCTGAGAAAGTGCACAAGCATACTGAAAATACCCAGCAATAAAAAAGGTGGAAAGTACTCAAGGCTAAGAAAAGTTTGTGGTTTTGTTTTTAATAGACACATTATATAGTTTTAATTTATTAATTTAGTTTAGTATTAGTTTAGTTTAGTAATAGTTCAGTTTAGTTTTACTTCACTTTTTTAAAACTTAGTACAATATAGATGCTAGTATAGTGTAGTATCAGGGAAAAAATAACAGATTTGTAACTTGAAAAATAAACTTTTATGTGTTAGTACTCTCTGTTCCAACTTAAATTAAGCTCCAAAAAGCTGTGGAAAATGGAAGAGAAGGCAAGAACATTTTTTGCAAACCAATATGACATTTAAATAGACCGTAAGGCATAAAAAATTCTTTAATAGAATAAAGAGTGCTGAAATGGGGCAGAATCTGTTAATAGCAGTGGATTTACAGAATGCCTTTAATGGAAACAGTACTCTATTATGCTTATTCATGATTTAATAGCTTAAAGGATAATAAAGACTTACATAACTACTTATCTTGGTATGATCTGATTGAAATCCTGGCCTTGTGAAGTGACAAAACTCGTCAGCTTCACTGAGGTTATAATTACAGGTCTACTCCTATTGCTAAAAGTTAAGCAGATATACACAAATCTGTAGAATTAAGCCTTGTTTGTGACATTTTACTAATTAAATGTCTATCACATTATCAGACCTTAAAAATTTTACTAGAAAAGAGAGACCAATTATATATGGTGTTCTGTGTATAAATAAAGTTAAATTTCAGATCTGAGAAAAAAAGAACAAGCACTTTTCAAATATAGCATTTAGTGCTGCAGTGTAACAAAGCATATTCAGTCACATCCTTAATTTTGAGCCTGGAACTAATTCTCTTGATTACTCTATAGTCCTAGTGCTCTGCTGAATTAAATTTGAAGGTTTAAAGCCCTGCTGGGGAAAACTTCCATATATATTTCCTTATGCACCACTTATTCTTCGGTCTTGAAATACGTGTTAATTAGAACTCTCAAATGTTGCTACCATTGCTCATACATCTGTCTTTATGATTAAGCATTCCAGTGACTGGGTGAAATAGTATATCCTGAAGTGGGCAAAACTGTATAATAAAGTTATAAGGCTTGAGTGCTCATACCTTGGAATATTTCTAATATTTTTATTAAAATTCAGATTATTTTCTTTGGGAAAGATACATCAGTATATTTACTAATAGAATTGGGCTGAGAGAGGGAAAAAGGATCTTAGCTCTTGTCTTTGAGAAATTTGAGCTCCCAGCTTTTGAATGTTAAAGGCCCTCTATCCTATGATCTTCAGTGAGTCATCTCATGGAGGTGGAGAGATCTGAGCCTGCTGTGTGATTCTTTGTGATTTGTGTCAATTGAGGGTCAATGTTAAAGATACTAAAAGCTGGAAATAGTTAGTAAAATACAAAGTACTATAAAAGGGAGCTGTCTCCGTATAGATGAAAGTATAATTTCTAAGTACCAGAAGCATTCATGCACAAACAATCATTTCACATATTGCAGTTACAGCAAAGATCTGCTTGCATCTCTCAAACTTTTAAATGAGAAGTGAAAAAATACCTCCATAAGTTTCATATTTTCAACATAGGATAAAAATATGAATTAATGTTAATGCTAGAAAGTTAGTAAGGCAAGCTAGTAAATCCGTAAGGCATAAGGCAACATGTATATTGCTTGCATTCATTGGTTCACCTCTGTGTATGCAAATGTTAGCCTGGAAGGTTCATTTTTTGAGAAATTACTGTCATGTAAAATACTGGGAACTGATACTTTAAGTTAAGCTGGCACTCATTGTGCTGTGTATGCTTTCGTTAAAATGCAATTATTAATAGGATTTGTGACAACTGAGAGTTTGGAAAGTTAAGAAGCCTTGTTCTCAGCAGCATTCAGTATGCTGCTTCTTTTTGGTTAACGTTGAGACTTTCTGTGAGGAAGAAATTATTTTCATATTTTTAGTGTTTTTTCTTCAAATGTACTCATTTCTTTTCTGTTCCTGCAGAACTCGTAATTTGAATGCACAGAATTAATAGGGTCTGATATTACAGATAGGGAGGATATGCACTATTTCAGCACATCAGTTCAGTATTACTTGACCACCAACACTGCTTACAGGCTTTATTGATACTTGTAATGGCTAATGTAACTCTCTCGTTGCGTTCGTAGAATCATATAATAATTTGTGTTGAAAGGGGCCTCTGGTCTATCTCCCTGCTCAAAGCAGGGCACTGCTATTCTAAATTACCTTACAATCTGTTGATGAAGAAACATATTGTGGGGAGTAAATCTGTACAGATACAAATATCTGTGCTTTCGTTTAGCATTTTTGTAATTGTATCATGCTATCATTTGTTAGCATGATTAGGTATGTCTACACCTGAGTCATCAAAGTGACTGCAATGTCGTGTACAGAAACCCAAGCAAGCTGTAAGCAAATGAGTTTCTGTACGTGTAGCAGTCTGTGCTTAGCAGCTGGAGCACAGTGTGAGGCTTCTGCTTCAATTGTGTAGCGGAGCTAGCTAGTAGAAAAGTGGTTCAGATACTGGCATGGTACAGTCCGCTCTCTCCTATGACTGTAGTGTAGACATTCCTGTAGTTGTCACATGCCTGGTAGTATAATGTGTGTATGTGTGTGCGCATGTGGGTATAAAAATATACATGTGTGTGTATTTAAATATGTATATATATTTTTTTATATATAGATAAAGCACAATTGACTACTACTGCAGAAAAAATATTGTACTTTATTTCTTATTTTTTTTTTATTTTACAAGGGTACCTAAAAACATTAAATGCCTAGCTTTTAAAAACTATGGCAGCACATAGTATTATATGAAGTTTCCTTATAGTTTTGGCTCAGTGATCTAGTGATGCTAACCAGTCACTACTTTAGCTTGATACTTCAACAGTGTACTACCTCGTATTTTCCCATTTTCTATTACAGTACTTATATCTCAGATTTGTTAAGCTTGATTGGTACTAGAAATCTCACTTGTTTGCAGACATGCTTATCTGTGTTATGCTAACAGACGATCTTGTGTCTGTGACTAAACAGCAAAGTTCCTATAGCTAGTAGAAGAGTAACATGTCCAAGGATTGAAATCCAGCAACCATCCACAGACACTGACAGGTATTACCATTGTATAGTAGCTGGAGTTTGAAATTATGATCATTAGAGAATGTATTGCTGTATTTTTCTTGTTCTGTGCTCAGTATTTCTAGATGAAAGAAGATGAAATAGGAGCTGAATTATAGTATGTTATAATTCTACTGCAATTCTATTTTTATTTCTTCAGTTTTTTGTTACAATAACCTAGAACTTTTAAATTTTTGATTGACATTATGTCATAGCCTACTTTTTAGTCTTGCACCCAGTTAAAAGAATGTTGTACATGAGTAATCAAATAAACTGCTTTCAGTTATTCTGGAAAAAAGTAATTTATGTTCATGTTGCGAGCTTTTATGATTGGTTACTGCTTCAAAATGTTCATTTTTTATGAGACTTTCTGACATAAGTTTAGATTAATGATTTTATTCATTTGTTGAAAACTCTCCTTTTTATTTGTTAAGTAACAAATCTGAAAAACTAAAAATTAGAAATGGTTACTTTCTGCATTGGGAAAACTGTTAGCTTTGGAAATTTCCAGAATATGAATATAAAACAATGCAGATAAATCAGTAGTTAGTATGAAATGTTGTAGCGCCTTTGGTTAGATATTTTAGTTACTAGAATTTACAGCAGTTCCTGAATACGATGGGGCTCATCCTCTAAAATTTTAATGTAAATTTGTATGGGTTTGGAATATAAATTTTCAACTGAATACTCCCAGAGCTTTTCTGCATGGTGCCTTAGAGAGAGCTCAAACAATTTCAGAGTGATAGATGGTTCTCTGGTTAAGAAGTAAACACCTACTGCTCTACTGTTCCTCCAGCGTATGGAAGATATACGCTCGCAAATCTCCTGCACTTTGATAGGAGACTAGACCACCTACTGTGCATATTTTCTCTAACAAGGTAGAAGGATGCTATGGTTGGTAATATGAAGAGGAGGAGGCCGTTCTCTGACATTTCTTTAACTGTCTGTTTTTAATGAAAAGTCTGTTAGCAACAACAAAATGCCTCTAGCATACATTAAGACATTATGTGGATGTTGAATAGTTTTAACTTTGAGTATTATCTTTTCCTCTTTAAAAATCAATGTTTCATACATTATGAATTATAATCAGAGTAGGTGGAACTTTCAGATGCATCTAGATAACTTGGGAACGTAAACCCACATGAAAGTTATCTGAAAAGTCACAATCTTTTGTTTCAGTTCAATGATGTGTTTAAAAAATTCCACGCCCCACACTTATGGCTGGACTGTGACATTAATCAATAGTTGTATGTTGTGGTAGGTGGGGAGCTTCACTGGCTAAGCAAGTTATTGGAGTGGTATTTTTTCTATAAAAGGGGACAATTCATCTCTGAAGACCTGGATTTTCTAGTGCGTGTGTCTCCTGTTGAAGGGACAAAGAATATGTGAGGACAAAGAATATACTTAGTTTCCTCCAAACCGTGAATCTGTCTGTTGCATTGTTCTGCAAATGAGTATGACAAAAACACACAGTGATGCTTTCAAGTGGAAGGCTGTTACTATGCTTATCTGGCACTCCATTTTTTGCTAAGGGTATTAGGAAGTTTGCAGCATGTAATCTGTAACCTGAGGGTAGCAACTCAGTTTCACCTCAGGTTTCAACTAAATCCTTCCATCTGCAAAAGCAACAGTGGTGTCAAGGCTTGGTCAAAAAGCAAAAGGTTGACTGCCAAAATCCATGTTTTCTTTCACTTCTAGGAACTCCTATTTGGTTTTCCACCAGTAGTAAATACTATTTATATTTTATGATATATATATATTTTTATATTACATTAACTATTGAATATAAAATTTCTGCAACATTTATCTCTTAACAGCATGGTTAGGTATGGTGGATCCATGCTCTGCAGAATACAAAACATGCATACTAAGCCATTAACAATACCGACCCTAACAATAAAAATGCCTTCCTCCATTCCAAAGCAGGCAATGGGTCAGATCTATGCTATCCTAAAAATGCTTCTTATACAATTGGTAAAGAGAATAGGGCTTTAGAAGTCATACAGGACAGAGGCTTAACATCTCGCAAACTGTCTACATGAATCCATTCTGTGGTCGCTGCTCACCTGTTCCTCCATATGTCCTGCTTGCTGTTAGGAGAGAAGGATACCTAGAAAAAGGAATTGTACCTCTTGCCATGTTGCCCAGTTCCTGCCTCACCCCCTGCTGCTGTGTGCACCAGCAACTTGCCAGCTCTTTGGAATAAGTAGAGGTATTATAGGTCTCTCTATGTGGGAGGCCAAAAGAGGAGAGAAAGTCTCTATTGACTCATGAATTTTCTTATACATGTGGGTGCTCAACATGGGGGTTGGGCTCAGTCTGGACCTTAATCATATTCTTTTTTGCAATTTTGCTTAATTTAGGAATTGTTTTTTCTGCAAATTTATTCTCATAGCCAAAGAAAGTTATTTTTAAACACCATGCAGATGGTTGACTCCTTTCTTACCTTCTGTAGCACTGAAACCCCTCTTAAACGGTTATCTAAGCTAAGCAACATCCATTTAAAACCTAAGGTTATGTTTCTTTGTTTACTCACAATGTAAAAGAAGCGAGACAGTGGATTTTTTTGCTGAAGAGGCTTCCCACTCAGAAACAGAACTGATAGAAGAAGATGTGAGGTAATTTTGTTGTGGTTTTGTGCCAGGCTCATTGTACTTTTCCTCCAATCCTTAGTGCTTTAGCTTATAATTACCATTATGTGTCTCACTGTGGTGTGTTTGCTTGTTAGGAGCTTTAGGCATAGGTTCTTGGTGAATGGTATTATTCTGAACCTGTCTGTGGGAGTTCCTTCTAATTCTCTAGGAATCCAATTACTACCTCATGGAAAACATGAAGAGACATTCGTTTTAATGAATGTTTTATCAACTCATTCAGCAAAGTTAGCAGCCTTAGAGAAAACTTTGTTCCATCTCAGTATGGTCTTTTAGAAATAAATACTGTTAATAACATAAGACTCTTCATAATGAGGCTGCACTACATCTCTTTTTTTGGTAATAATTAAAATTTGGGTTTATGTTATACTTGGATCACCATCCAGTTATTAACTGACTTCATTGTAAAATATGCGACTTAGCTCAAGGAAAAGACCTAAAGAGTATGCGTTCATCATTTGGATTCTACAGCAATTCAGTTACTCAGGTAGAGCTGGAAGGAGTGGAAATTTAATAAGTGGATTCATTAAGGTGTACATTTTAATTTTGAAGTTACCATGAATTTATATATTTTAGGATTAGCAAATTTTACTCCTTGCAAACATACCAATTATACTGTGACGAAAGGTGGAGCTTCATTAGTTTCCAAAAGTAATGGCATGATTAATTGCCTATGATAATAGAAGACCAGACTGATTGATCTGGAAGTTCACTTTTACTTGGTTCACTTTTTCCCTGTCTCTAATGCTGACTTTTTCCATTGCTATTTTGGCACTGTTCTTTAGGCTGAGGGTGAGAAGATTTTTTTTATCACAAACCACACTATCTAGTTGGTGGAACTTCTGCAAGTGTGAGTGATGTTGTAGCTCTTTTACTAATTGCAGTGCAAGTACTGTGTATGAATTCATTACTAGAGCCTGGCTTACTTTTTGACTGATATCATGAGTCTAATAATACAGTTAACAGCAATATGTGGTAATTATAACATCCGGCAGTATCTGAGCTTGATGGTATTTGCTGTGGAGTTTATCCCTGTGAATACTTGTTCAAGAGAACTTCTAAAAATGGTGGAGTCTGTAAAAATGTACTCCTGTAAGTAAAAATGTGCAATGAAAATGCACAATTAAAAAGATCCTTAGCTTTAATGAGAGATGGTATTATGTCAGCTATTCTTTTCCTCTAAGACGGATGCATAAATCAACAAAATAATTTTTTTACCCAGATATTGTCAGGAAACAGACTATTGCATGGATAGTCATTACTGAGACATTGAAAACATTTCAGCCCATTTATCAAGAGTTTTGAGCAAGCCAAAGCATATATCTTTAAAAAAACTGTATGTTATCAAGAAGCGAACTCAGAAAATTTACCAAAAAAGTGTGCATAATAAAATGATTTTCTCCAAACCAATATCATGCAGCATATTTTATACGTAACAGAAAAGTCAAAGGTCAACTGAGCTGCTTTTTGACTAACATTACAGGAATTGTGAAGCAGCAGATAGACAGCCATATCAAAGATCCAGATCAACAGAGCAACATCCTGTGCTAGAGCGGACCAACTCCCGCTCCCGATCCACAGAGCGTCCTGACTCAAACCTCATCAGGTCGATGCCTTCATTAATGACTGGAAGATCTGCCCCTCCTTCACCTGCCTTACCGAGGTGAAACAGACAAATCGATCAGACTAATCCCCTTCTGCCCCCTCCCCAGCTCACCATTTTATTTTCCCAATAGCTAATTGGTATCGCCTGCCATCCTTAGCTGATCACTAGTAGCAATAGATACTAACCCCTTCAGTGCCAACACACTATTTATATTCTACTGTGGATATAATGGTGTGGCTGCCATTGTAAGTTGTTTACTAACAGTATTTAACGGCATTTGTTTGTGATTTCTCATTTCTCAGGATTCCTGGATGGTTTCCCACATAAAGCACCTCATAAGTATCACATTCTTCTCTTACAGAATGCGAAATTGTTTGTCTTCATCAGACATCCCTTAAGGAACAACCATCATGAAAACATCAAATGAAACTATTTTTTTTAAAAAAGTTTCTTTAGATGGACTGAATCAACTTTGTGTATTAGCTGTCATTTTAACCACCATTTCCTCTGACTACATTTTACTGTGCCATAGTCTGTATCATTCCTGTTTGAGTACAATACTATATCTTTACTGATTGACAGTTGCAGATTTCTATAAATTGCTCTTAGCTTAAATAACTGTACTACAATAAGAAGATGAATACATTTGGTCTAGTTGATGTTCAGTAAAGCCTCTCCTTATTTTAGCGCACACTTTTGCTTTCTGAAAGTGGGAGTTGTTAACATCAAGAATCGAATCTCAGTGTCCTCTCTCAGTTTGTTACTTCATTTGTTTAGTTAAATCCCTGTAATTGTGTTGCCACTCAATTGAAGTGTAATTAAATGTAAACTGAGTAAAGATCCTAGAATTTGGCCTGTAGATAATTTTATGTGTATGTGGGTATTATATCCATGTGTACATACGCACACAATGCGTTTCCTGACTTGACAGTGCAAACAAGTAGCCTATGGGTCCTTAGCCTTATTTTGGCTTTTTTTTTTTTTTGCTTTGTTTTTTCAGAGAGAGATTTCTCTTTTTGACCTGATCTTTTTCTGAAAAGAGATAATAGTTTTGCTTTGGGACTACAAGGGTCCCAAGTGATCTAAACCTTCTTTGAAATTTTACCAGGTCTTTTAGGTATTTAAGGATGAAATTGTCATTTAATGGCTATGGTTTGTATTTATGTGTGTCTCATAGGTCACACCCTCGAACCGGGTCCATTCAAACAAGTCCATCAAGCACTCCAGTAGCAGGGCGAAGGGGGAGGCAGTTACCACAGCTCCCACCAAAAGGGACATTGGAGAGAAGTAAGTGTATGTTTTTTTGCTTAATCACATTTCAGACTTGCTCATGAATGTTGATTATATATTTTTTTTCTTTTGGAATTATACCTTAAAGCTCTTGAGCTTTTGTGCATAGAACTAGGATGTGATAGTAGTTTTGTATTCTGTTTGGCATTTTCTTTTAGTATCTTTTAACATTTACAAAGATCTTGATTGAAATGAATCATCTGCAGTACAGTAATCATCTATAATACAACAAATACAAACCTTACTGGATTAACTATTAGCACGATCCTGTTCCTTTTGAACTCAGTAGGTGTTTTGTCATTGACTTCAACAGGCGCAGGAAATGAGCTTTTGTATGTTGTTTAGTGATAAAACTCTGGCTCTTCTGGAAGTTATCAGCATAGCTGATCACTTGTGAGCTCACATGCAGTATACTGTAGAGTAGTAGTATAAAACCTTTGCACCTTGAAACAGGAGGAACAAGGAAAGATGTAATAGTCCTTAAAATAGGAAAGGTCAACAAAATATTTCATGATTCGTGATCTACTGATACTCTAAACGTGGTTATTTTCAGTGTTTCTTAAAAGCACTGGTCAGTGGAAACATTTTCCAAAATGTTTAGAAACAGAGGAAAAGAAACACATTTTTGATAGCAAATGTATTCTCACTCTTCCGCTTCTGGTATCTATACATGCTGTGCAAAATCAGTCTAAATGGCCATATACACCTTTTTTTTTTTTTTTAATCCTTCTGAACGTGTATATTGTATCTTTTATAAAATTTCTGTTGTTTTTAACCCCTGTGCTTTGGTTCCCTTTTTTGTTTTTGTTTTGTTACTTTCCCTAGACAATGGAGACAAGGAGATAGAACCTTATGAAGGTCTGTACATAAAGGAGGGTTTGTTTTTCACCTGAAAGCCTTTCTGAGAGGCATATAGGCAAAAATAAACCCAACTGCAATTGATGTTGCTTGATTGCATAGACTTAGCCTGAATTATTGTGATAATTATTCAGTCTTTTTTTATATTCAGATCTATGGGTCATAAATTTTACAGGGTTCTACGTAAAAAGGGGAGAACAAATAGTATTCTCTAAATATGATCATCATTGGAAAAGTACCCAGACATATACCCGTCTTTAAATACCAAGAATTGACACTGTAACAAAGGAGAGTATTTCAAGTTCCATTGAAGCCAATTAACCTGTGTAGGTCCATAAACATTTACATTACTCTTTTCAGAATTAGCAATTTAGGCATATATTTAAATTTCAGCACTTCAGGCTATTTGGCATGGTTAGTGTTAATCATGCACTTAATCGGAATCATGTTTTTATTACGATATTACGTGTACAATGTTATGCGGTTACCTAAAGCAATTGCTGAATTAGTGGGTAATTTTTAAAAGATATAGAAGCAAAAATCATTTGCAGCAAGACAGCCTTTTAAAAAAAAAGTGATAATACTTTTGCTTAAAATGAAATCCCCTTATATTTTATACAGTTAAAACTATTTAAGTTGCTTCAAAACAAGCCATAAGATATCAATTGCAGTCCTTGGTTATACCACTGAGGGTCTACATGTAGTATAACTGTATCTGTCTCATCAGATTTTTTTTTTCTTTAGTATTTACAATGTTTATGGTGCTTATTTGCATTCCAGAATCAGAATTTCATGAAAAGAAAACTCTTGTTTTCTCAGATCATTACCCTAGTATATACATTTCTCTGTTGTCTTATGTGTTGTGAAATGCTTATATGAATTACAACCTAGCTGTGCCAGGAACTAATTGCATCTAATCACATGATGTTTGCTGTCATTGTTATATATGCTTTCATGTTTTATCACTTTTCCCTACTCTTTGTTTAGTATATCTATTTAGACTGTGAGCTCTCCGGGGCAGCAGTTGTGACATACTGCATATTTTTACTGCATTTGATTAGAGAGAACAGCAGTCTTATTTACATCATAGGTTCATCATAGAGAAATATAATGAATACATTAAAAAGAATTATTTTTATAGGAATGCTAGAATTGTTTCCTCTGGTAAGTACTTCTGGGACTTGAGAAGCTGTATACATTTTTATTCAAAAACTGAGTAATATTTTATTGTACCTTTGTCTAAGAGTAGTCTTTTGGTAAATCTGGGTTACAGAAAATTGTGAAATCGATAGATACTGGTATTGTAATATACAATCGAAACATCATCAGAGACTGAAGCCACACACTAGACACACTTCATGTTACATTTTGTTCAAGTAAAGGTGCAAATACTGTAATTTAAAAAACATAACCCATACTTATGCAGGCTTTCACACGGTGTTCTACATAATTTTTTGTTATGAGTTAAGAGCTCATAATCTATTCAAACCGTGTAATTCTATTTTGAGGCTTTTTGTATTCTTCTTTAGGATCGCTGTTTTCTTAAAAGAAGTAACACTCTACACGAACAACAGATTATTTAACTTTTGTCAGTGACAGAAGATAATTATGGTTAATTAATAGTAGTTTTTAACTGCAATTAATTCCATTTACAAAAAAATATTATGTGAGTGAAGTGCCAGTGAGAATAACAACTGAAATTTAGTAGAATCGGAAACATTGACTATAGTCGATATGAATAATAATAGCAAAGAAAATAAAGCAACAAGTAAACCTGAAAACTTCATAGTCATTCCAGTGGATTGTTATGTGTTATTGTATGTTCTGGTGATAATCAAAACAGCTGTCACAATACAAAGGAAGCTTGTATGACCATATTGGAAAACGTTATTGTCCTAGAGAAGTAGTCTTTCGTGTCATTATTGAATCATATCTTTAGCTTAAAATGAGAGGGAGGATTTGGTATCTTTTGTGTTCATCAAATATTATGCTTAGCTTCCACAGTTCTGTTTCCAGTGTCTGATGTCACCTTTTAAGAGAGAGACTGGATACCTCTAGAATACACGTAGTTATATTATCTAGCCAGAATAAACCGTAAGCATATAGGGGTTTTTGTTTTTCATTTTGTTAATTCACTACATTTTCATGCTAGGTGGCTGGAAAACACTTTTAAAAGCTTATTTTAAAAAGAAGTCTGAGACCACTTGAGGTTTCTAACAGATTTTAACTTTTGAGATGCCCGAATATAGTCTTTTTTACCTTAACTTTGTTTTTTATGTGTTCAGATTATGCTAAAGCTAGAGACATTTTGCTTGAAGTTAACATTTGTAGAAAAACAATTGTATTAAGTGGAACTTGTTTTTATTAGCACTATAGACAATAAGTGAATACTGGAATATTTATAGCTCTTAAGGGTTAACAAGATTCTATTCCCTAATGTGCAGCTATAATATATTTCTTTGTTCTTTCTGGCCTTGGTAGAAGGGTAAGCTGAGTGACTGCCTCTTGCTGCTAATGAAAGCAAAGCACTATAAAGAGTTCTTGACAATATTCAGTATTAGTCCTTTCAGTTTGCTGTTAATTACTAATCAAAGGAGTATTTTTTTCTGAGATAGATTTTTCCCTTTCCTCTTAAAAATATACTCCTTCTTTTGTCATCCCTACAAAAAACAACCATCCATCCAGCTAAAAAACTAGAAAATTACATCAGAACTGTTGTAATAAAACTTTAAGGTGGAAAAATGAAGCGCTCAGAAATTTAGCAAATAGTAGAGCTCAGTTAGGATTTGCTCTTTTATTTATGCTCTATAGTATAGACTTTAATTACAGGAACTCATCATATTCTTGTACCTTGGGCAAGTTATTTCAGAGACTGCTAAAGCTGACATTAATGCCAATTAACTGTCCCCTCTTAATTTCAGGTATGGATGCTCTTATTCCAGAATAAAATTATCTGCAAGTGGAATTAACAGGGGATAACTGACTGGCTTTAATCAGGGATAGCTATCAGCCATCACTCCAGTTTTTATATGTCTCAGACACAATTTCAAGTCTGTAAAATGAAAATAGCTATACTGGCAATTGTATTATTGACGCGCTATGAAGTAAGGAACATGAGTTACTGAGATACTCTAATGATTGGGAAAAAACAGTTACTGTTGAAGACAGGAAGATATGCTATTTATTTTAGGGGTTTCTGTCTCATTCACAGCATAAGTTCTCTGTTAAATGAGACATAATTTTGCAAATTAGGAAGGAATTTTATTGTGTTTTTCAGTCCCCTATAGTCTTTTGACGGGATTCAGAGAAAGGCTATTATAATGGAACTGCAGAGAACCAATATTCACACTGGCCGTAATTCTATCATATTCTGACAGCTATGATTTCACAGTTTTAAAAATCCTGTAACATTTTGGTAAAAATATATAGCACAGGTAGTGTGTTCTGTAGAATGTGATTGATCACATATATATCATATAGGATAGGAACTCGGACTAGCTTGAGCTTGGCAAGGAACGTGATGACTTGGTCAAGCAGTAAAATAAAAACTGAAAATAGATTTCTTTGCACCCACTTTTTTCTGTGTATGTGACTGTGGTAGTGAATATGCAGTCTTAGATACCTTTGCTCTTGCACAAGGTAACTCCTGGTCATATGCACTTGACAACAAAGTAAAGAGTTAACATTGGCTTAGTTAACATTGGCTTCTAGGCTGCCTTTGGGATAATGCATGAAACTTCCTTGGGCTTTTGATTTCTATTAGATATGAGCAAAAATATATCTCTGGATTTTGGCTGTAAATGCTTAGATCACTATCCTGAGAGGTAGAAGAGTTCAATCCATACTTATTCGAAGGCCTATTAAAATATTTTACCTGCAGTAGTACAATTTCTATTGAAAAACCGGAGAAAATGTTACCGATAACGCAGGGCTAAGATGCTTACTTGAAAGGTGTGAAGTAATGGTTTGTACTTTTCTCTTGGACTGCTAGAAGGAGGATTTACACCCCTCTTTTTTACATGCCACTCGAAGATCTTAACTTCTAGGACTAGATCTACAAAAAGCATGATGAAAAATGGGCAAAGGTCCGTACAACCTGTGCTCATGACAGCCACTGTTTCTTTCTGTTTTAGGGTACTGACATGCCAGAAACATTCTTGTTCAATTCTAGTGGAATTAAATTCTTCTTTTTAAGTTTTTGGCCTACCTCTTCTACATTATTTTTTTTTCTACGAGAGAAGGCTGACTGTATAGAAGGTGTCCCTACTAAATACTTTACAATATGCAGAATACAGAATTTCAATTGGAATTCAATTTTCATTATTTTATCACAGAGTTATAGAGCAGAAATCTGTTTAGAAATTAGTTTCTGTTGCATTGACATCAGTTATTATCTAAATCTCTCTGCCTATTAACAATAACCTGGCAGAACAAGAAGTTTATAAATTATGATTGCATGCTAACTAGCCCCAAAGTCAAAGAATTCAGTGAGCTATTTAGTCGCACATAAAATAAACCTGCAGAAGTAATGAGAGAACTGGAAAAAATCTGGAAATAAAGAATACAAAAAGTGTGCACAATAAGTAATAGAAATCTGAACCTTCAATAACTGTACGGTATTACATCACATCAAAGCAACGTTTAAATAATTGACATTAAAATGAAATCAGACTTATGGTACAACAGCTATTCAACTCAACGCTCTTTTATATCGTTGCTGTTGTTAGCAGGGCATTAGATAAATTTTGTCACAAAAGGAAGTTGTTCTGATTCTTTCTTCATTACTTAGACAAAAGAAGTATATTTGTCTAACTTCACTGCTATTTCCAACTGTTTCAGAGTTCACCAACATTTAGATATGCTCTAGGTCTCAGTTCCCTTCTAATTGTAGTTCCTGATACAGAATTGTTTTTATTTTCTAATTACTTTGAAATTCAGGTAAAAATTATATTATTTTTTTCCATATTACTAATGATTACTAAAGATTTAAACACAATTTT